ATAGAAAATATGGTCATTGTTTTCTGAGGCTATTGGCAGTTTTTACATCACCATTTGGAAAACCAATGTAAATGCCACGGGGCGAACAGTGTGAGCTCATGAAAAGGGTACTGCACAAGTCATCAGCATTTGGTTTCTCCATGGTGTGTAACCCGCTATTTGACTGTGAGCATGTCACTTTGCCATTAGGTGTCTTAGTTTCCCTTCTGTAAAATGATGGTAATTATTATTCTATTTATTTACTGAGGCCATTGAATGAAAACATGCTGTAGAAATTTATTTGTAAGAAATAGGAATTGCTACTACAGTGTTGGCAAATAGATCTCTCTACTTGAAGTAGCTGTAGCAGATGAAGTTATTTTTAATATCCATAGTGAATCATTTGTGTTACTAGATGGCGTGCATTCAATAGCTAGCATAGTCATCCATCAGAGAGTAAATTATTCTACAAAATTCATTGTCTTTAAAACTGTATTATTATATTAGTCCTGCAATGGGCAGACAGTTTGTACAATTCAGTATAATAGAAGTTGAGCATAGTAGTAGATTAACAGGTCGGTGAAAGCCAATAGAAGCCTTGTGTATATCCCAAGATAGATTTTTGTTCTCCTTTAAAAGGCATAAATATAATACGGAAAACGGATCCTCCAAGATGAATAGTCACTGAAACATCTCTTGCAATAACAGCTAATAACAGGTTAGTAACTTGGCCTGCAGTCTCATCTACTGTATGTTAAGAGCTAGTTCACTTAATTTTTTTTCTGGCTTTTGAGAATTCATTGTGAACTACTAACTCTTCAGATGGTAACTGAACATTTTCCCAGCATGTATATGCACGGACAACAAAATTGGAGAGGAGAGAGCCCTGTTGTATTTGCCTTCTTGGACTCTGTTTTGCAAGTGCTTAGAAATTGCCCATATAGTCATGAAGAAAAAACAGATGCGTGGTGCACTTTGCAATATTTCCTGTTCTTCAAAGATTTCATCGCACATAGGATTCCCTTTGCAAGTCACCAGAGGGATGGCATGGTGATTGATGGGCACAGAGTATAATTGAGATATTATTATAGTGAGCTATGTTGGCATTGCAATCATTGAAGCAAAAATTTTTATCTTTTGAAAAGGTATAAGTTTCATTTGCAGTTATGTTACTTTTACAGCCAGCAGTTAGAAAGAGGGTGCAGGAGTGCCGGTGGGAGAACAGGTAGTATGTTCATGTGGCTGTTCAAAATAGTGTATCACCTTTCCAGCACAGTATGTCAGCTTGTGGTGCAGGTAGCTTTCATAAAAGTAGATCTGGTACTATTGCTGTTTACATTAGGAGCGTTTTAAAACTCAGAGTATACTCTTACAGTGCTGCTCTTACTGATTTCAGTGGTGTTTGCATGTGCTGTGGTATTGTGATATAGGAGTAGTTCTGTTACACTAGTTTATTTAAAGATTTTCATTATGCTAATAACCGTTCAGTTTTTCATCACTGTAGCTTGTAAGAGTCTACCAAATTTGACTAGAAATGTTTGCAGTTTCAGCTGATTTCTTCCAAGTATACATGTACAGGCACACAAAGGAAATTGAGGAATGGATCTGATATAAAATCAGAACCATTCCACTGAGGATAGTTAAAAGATCTAGTACTTTGGTTTTAACATTTTTCAGCATTACACTACAAATTCTGATGTGCAAGCAATTGCAATCAGCAAATTGCTGATTTTGACAGGCTAACGCTGAAAGGAGAAATCAGAATACCCATTCGATGCACTTTTTGGAAAGAAACCATTGCAGGTACACGACAAAAGACATACCCATTACAGTTGTTACTGTTCTTCATAGTAGTAATATGTAAGCCTAGAATTTACCGACTAGCTCTTCCTGGCTGTTAGCTATGCTTGATCAAGGTAAGAGCCATAAATCTCATTCTAGCTATGTCTTCTTAGCAATATGGTCCAAAGGCTGGCATGTTTGCCGAGAATCACCTTTATTTGAAGAACTGCAAGGAATGTCTGCTCAGCAGCCTGAACTTGCAGTATTGCTCACATGAGACCCAGCAACTGATTTCATTCCATTAACTTTTTGTTTCACTTCTTTGAACATCCCCTCAGAATATCTGTGCTTCATGAAACTTCTCTCATAAGTCCCTTAGTTACTCCAGTGAACAAAAATTGGATTAAATGCATCCATGGTGATTGTGACCCAAAAGCGTATTCTGAATCTATAACCTGTAAGCACAGATGAACTGCTTTGCCAGTGAAAGCAATGTGAGGTTTTTAGGGAGAAATAATGTCACCTCTTTAGCCAACTGGTACAGCTGGAAGAATTAGAGAGTTTTGATTTTTTGTGCCTGAAAGTTACTTAGCTTTTCCAGCTGCATCAGCTAGCCTCATCAGAGATATTGCTTCTCTCTACAGTATTCTCCCTTATATTCTTAAACCCTTCTAGCTACAATAGTAACACATCACTGACATAGACTGGAATGGCCTGTGTATTAGTTACCAGTGTGTTAAAAACTGATTTGGATAGATGTTATTGAACAAATTTGGACATAATCCCTGAGCATATTTAAAAGACGTGATGGTGTAGTGGTGGACTTGATAGTGTTAGGTTAATGGTTGGACTTGATGATCGTGTGGGTGTTTTCCAACCTAAATGATTCTGTGATTCTATGAAATATGCATAGGTAATGTTTAGTAGTTCTGTTGCATAAAAACAACCTTGTACTTTATATCCCAATAAAAGAATAATCTGGAAAAAAAAGGAACCTGTCTAAGAGAATTAGATTATTTAACTGGTAGGTATAGAAAGAGCTAGCAGTTGCTAGCTGAGGGGGGAAAAAAGAGGTTCTCCATCACGTGTTGTGGAACCCATACTTTACCACGAGTGGAGTCCAAAAAGGACGCTAGGATTTGGAGTTCACTATTGGCCCCCACCTGTGGGGTCTAAAGATGTTTTTGAGAAAAGTGTGTGTGATTTTCTCATTGTACATCAAAGCGCATAATGAAAGCCACCTTCTCTTCTTCAGATCCTTTTAGGCTATTGGGGTCTGGTCTGTATATTGTTTGTGACTTGGTGTCATCATGGGGTCCTGTGGGTGATACAAGCAGACAAGTACTACCTACTAGAAATTCATATGCAAGAAAAAGGCTTAAGGTTTCCCTGGTCAGGCAGAGCAGTGGTTGGTGCTGCCTTGAGCAGTGGTTAATGCTGGCTATGTAGAATGACCTAAATGTCTGTCTCTCTGAAGATAAATCACTCCCATCTTCCACCAAGGCTGCTTTTTTAAGTCTAAAATGTGATTTGGTATGTTTACAAAAAAAACTTTAAGACATGTTGAAAATCTCACAATTAAAATGATACTGTTAAAATATTGAGCTTATCTTAATACTCAGTAGTATATGATTCACTACGTGCATGAGGGGTTTTTTTGCCAAATAAATCCATGGGTTTGTTCCTTTGCCAGAATAAATCCTTTGAGCCTTTATCAAACTGAAATGGTAATAACCTGCTAAACAGTATGAAAGAATTTGGGTGATAAAATAAAGACTGAATTTAATAAGTACACGGTTCTCAAATTATACCTTGATTTTGAAGTGAATGTGGAGACCTTACCCAACAGTGATTTGATAATTGTTGTAAAGTATTAACACATTTCCTTTATTTCAGAATCTCTATGTGAAGCATGTTTTTAAATTATACATTTTAAAATTCAGCAAAAGATCAAACATCAAAATTAACTATGCTGACTAAAAGCATATATTCTGTAATGTGAAACAGACTGTGAGTAATAAGAACTAGATGGAATAGGAATAAGATGTCTACCCACCACCATACAGATAACTTATTTACCTTGTAAGCTCTCAACAGCTGGAAGAAATAAAGTTATCTAAATACTACCCAAAGTAGCTGGAAGCTGTAAGCACCACTACAAATATATATATATATATATATACACACACACACATATATATGTTTAAATAGTGGGGAGTTTTAAATTATCACATAATGTCTGCATAAAATATGCAGGTCTAATACTTTTATTGTAACGGTCTACTGGAATTTTGATGTAGTTGCGTAAATCATATCTTCCACACAATTTTATTATGCAGTCTGTTTACAGTTTTTACACTTAATGCAAAGCAATTATAGTGATACTGTGGGGCATGGGGAAGATAATGGAAAACAATGAAAAAGCATGTTAAGAATAAAAAGGTATTATATGAAATTTAGTCTAAAACATAGCTTGAATGAACCCTGACAGAGCTGATATGGTTGCCTGTTTCCTGTGCCAGGAACTACCAAGGAACCCCACCAGGAAGTGTGCTACAGAGCAGGATCACATTACACCCTTGTTTTATGGTTCATTTCACTTATTTAATGCAATTTGAGTACCTGCAAAAAAAGAGCACTCTAAAAAGGGGATGTTTATTATTTGAAAATATGTGATTTCTTTGACTCAAGTAACTTGGGTTCTGGGAACAGCTGATGTGCCTAATGTAAGGCAAGGCAAATCAGTACAACCGTGCCGCAGGTTGTACAGCAAAAGAAACATGTTTCTGTATTCATGAAATGTAAAGAATGATGAAGGTAGTTTGTATCTGTACACTTCTGCCTCTGTACTTTAGTCAACCAACTGTGCTACAGTACTACAACAACAAAAATCGTAGTAGTTTTTCTTTACTACTCCAAGTAAATTTTAATACAGAACAGTGGTTTATTAAAGTTATGTAGAATAAAAGGGTTGTTTAGTGTTCCAGCTGATTTATAGGTCATGATGAAACATTCCAAAATTCTTGGAAACACGGAACACACTACAGCCTATATTTGGTTTGACAAAGCTGTGTTCATATGAAGGAAAAATGTTTAATGTGCTAACTAGATAATGATTCATCAGTTCTGGCAGAGGAACTAATTTTTGTTAATGTAGTACTTAAAAATGTGTGGAATGAACAGCTGGATACCACAGTTGTGGCATGCTGTATTAAGTCTCTGTCTGTTTTCCCCTATAGTGATCTCAGTATGAACAACATTACTAAGCTGCCCTCAAACCCTGTGCACAATCTCCGCTTCCTGGAAGAGCTGTAAGTATCATTGTATCCTTGATGAGCATAGTTAGCACTAGACACATTCCTGTGTTTGTCTCTAATACTTACTGTGGGAACCAGATAAAACAGTGCAGGAAAGCTGTCAGCTTGATACTTCTGGCACATGCGGAAACACTTAGTTGAAAAAAAAACAATTGCTTGTGATTCTGGAAATGAACTTATAAAAGAGTTACCGTGAAGCTACAACTTCTCTAAGCAGAGACAGAGCCAAACAAATTAAAATTTTTAAACAAGGGCAGTTTAAAAGAACTGGATTGCTTTTTGGAAATAGTTAAGCAGCAGGATATTAAAAGTTTGAATACTGGCTCATGTTTATTAAAATCGCAAGTAAAGCTATAATCAAAACCAAAACCTGCTGCCTCGTTCTGCTTGTGTCAAGGACAATTGAGTCCACATTTCATAGTATCAAGGCTTCTTGTCCTAATCACTTTTAATTACTGTTTCCTTACCCTTAAATTTAGCATCCCTGAAGGCTGACTGTAAAATGCAGAATCCTGCAAAAAGCTTAGTTAAGCTATCTATCTAGTACATTCACTGAGGGGAAAAAGTACACTGCAAAAACTAGCTAATCAAGCACAACATCAAAAGGGGAATGCTCGTTTGAAGTGATGGTGACTAATCAAAAGTGAAAAGTATTGTGCATTCATGAGACCTGGATTTGGCTGTGACCCTAGTTATAATGGCCCAGGCTTAAAAGAAAATTCAGATTCCTGAGGAGTGATGAAGACTCTGTAACTGATGCACCATAGGTTGTGTGGGAAAAAGCTGGTACCCACAATTTGCATGTATATCTCTAAAAGTTGATTAAAAGAATTGTCTAGGCATCCAGCCTCTTATGAAATGTGGTTTATAAGCTTTTAAAAGCGAAAGCCTCCTTTTTTTATAACATGTTTGGCTCCTAACACGCCATAAAACCCATGTAAGATATGCAAAGTCATGGTGCTGCCCTTCTTGTAAAACCATGGTCTATTTTAAGCAATGAAGTTTGTACAGTCCTCTGTAATTTAGGTGGGTATTGCACTGACAACTTTTGGTGTCCTTGTCAACACTCATTTGAATTTTGCTGTCTGGTCTATGAAAAAAAAAAAAAATTAGAAAAAAACCTAATCTATTTGTAATGCTGTCTTTGAACTGTACTCTGTTCGCAGGCTGATTTTCCTTTCCTGTCTTTCTTACTTTTTTTACTGGCATCACTTGTATTAGAAAGCATTATTGCTTTGAGATCTCTCTCTTCCTTTAATTCCTAGTTTTCTTTGGTTTTCATTGTCTGTATTGCTGTTGGTGCAACTTTCAAGTATCATACAGATACGGACATAACATAACATCACACACAAGTACTAACAGTATCAAGTGCTTATGAAATGAATTATGCCACAAAGACCTTGCTTATGGATTTTTGCATCATGTTCATGTTTGCTTGTCTAATCTCTTGTCAACTGTAATAACCCTACTAAAAACTTCCAAAGAAAGATTTCTCTCCAGCCATTAAAGAGGGAAAAAAAAAAAAAGAAAAACTAACGCGTGAGCTTTTCCTGCAAGGAAATTCTAATACATTAAGCGAAGTTACCTTCACTCCTTCATTTTACAGCCTAAAGTTAGATGACCCAAATAAGTAAGACTCATGTCGCTGTTTGAGAAACTGTTCAGCAGTCAACTTCATCTTACTGATCAAGACCTTTGGTAGTGTTCTTACCTTATTCTTGGTTTGGGCCTATGTTTTCCACCAGAAATATTAAACTGCAATCCTTATAACCCTCCTCCAATTTAAGTAATTCCATTCCTTCATTACTGGTAGTACCAAAAAAATATTTATTTATTCACTATGTTCTGTTTTACATATATGCAGTCAGCTTCTCCATTCATTTCACACAAGCCAATAATTTCCATTTCTCATTAATTGTGATGCTGTTTTATGAAACCCTTCCAGTTTATATTCACTTTTCAAATAAGCATAGGAAAAGTAAGCCTTTGAAGAGCTGAGGCAACTGATTACCTTGATGCTAATTCAAACCCATTGTGCTGAGAGAGTCTTTGGTGCTCAGAGGCATGTAATACATTTCAGTCTAGTATTACATAGAAAAAGGTATAGATAATAGAAAGAGAACTGGATATTGAATTTTTAAGGAGGGGGTAACAGTCATTTGTAGTTCCTGTGCTCCCCTGTGTTAATTTCTGAGCAGCGATTGTACACATGAAAATTATTTTGCCACATGATTTTTATTCCTGGCTTAATCTGGGAATTCATAGGACTACAGAACAGTTTAGATTGGAAGGGTTCTTAAGATCATCCACTTCCAACCCCCATGCCACAGGCAGGGACACCCTCCATTATATCAGGTTGCTCAAAGTCCCATCCAACCTGACCTTGAACACTGACAGGGATGGGGCAGCCACAGCTTCTCTGGGCAACTTGTGCAAGTGCCTCACCACCCTCACAGTAAAGAATTTCTTCCTAATACCTAGTCTAAATCTCCCCTCTTTCAGTTTAAAGCCATTCCCCCTTGTCCTATCCCTACATTCCCTTTTAAATTCCCTCTCTGGCTTTCTCGTAGGCCCCCTTTAGCTGCTGGAAGGTTGCTAAAGGGTCTCTCCAAAGCCTTCTCTTTCCAGGCTGAAGAACCCAACTCAGCCTGTCTTCATAGGAAAGGTGCTCCATCCCTCTGATCATCTTTCTGGCCCTCCTCTGGACTCTCTCCAAAAATTTGTGTTTTGGTTATGTGTTTTAGTTAAAGGCACCTATTGTAAAAGATAACTTAGGCCATACTACAGACATTGTAAAATAAGATTTTACGAGATCTTTATACCAAAGCAATGTTTCCATGAAATTAAAATGCATCTTAGAAATGTCTATCTGCTTTTTGAAATACAACTACACTGGGAGCTTAAAATGTTTTTTTTTTGGGCGGGGTTTTTTAGTGCTGGAAAAAAGAGTTAATTAATCCTTTTATTGGAGGTCTGGTTCAGAAACGTGATAAAAGTTAACAATTGATCCCACTGAGTTTTAGCTTAGATCTTACGTCCTACATGCTTGGTTTGGCAATAATTGTAAGTCATTACCCCAAAATAACTGGGGTAATGGGCAGTTATTTTGACAGTTAAATGACAGTTAAACCAGTTGTTTTGACTCTAAAGCAAGGATGTATAAGCCAGGTTCCTGATCTTCTAGGCTCAATTTGATCCACTCTTCTAGGCAAGGTTAGACACTTTTGCAAGCAGCATTCTTGCAATCCTGATGATCATGCTCTTTATTTATCCTTAACCAAAGACTTTGATCACTGAAGTGCAACATACTGAAACTATGCTGTATTTTTGAAGTGCAAGTTCCTCTAAAAACTTTGGAAAACCTCATGGTACTTTGCATACTGAACTGTTCTAGCTCCTAAAATGTTTAGTTTGGAGCAAGATCTTCTATTTGTGAAAATGATGGTCATTTCAGGCCCCATTTTTTCTTGAAGTGCATATGATGGAACTCCCAGCAAGAAAGAAATATGCTTCAGCTGCTTGATTATCAGCAAGTTGCTCTGCATGAACTTGTACCAGACCATTAAGTCAAATTCTTCATTATAAATTCAAAATAACTGCAGATATTTATCAGTATGCCTGAATCCAAGACTCAGTCTCATATGGAGGATGTGTAAATGCATGTCATTCTACAATATGTGTAGAATGGCTGTATTAATAGATCAGTAAATCAGCATAATCCATGAAAAAAAGGGTTTTTAAAAAAGTGTGAGGAATTACCGAGGGTGGGAATTCTAAGCTTTTAAGAGGCAGCTACATATGAGTGTAGACATATCATCTTATGATTAGGAACACTTCAAAGCAGTGCCTGAAACTGTTTTATTTTCTAGATTAATGTCTCTATGAGGAGCGAGGAAGAAAGCCAATAATAATTTCAAACTATTTGAGTCAGACCAAACTGCAGATATCTCCAACTAGATATATTTCTACACATACATGCATATGCACATGCATAAATATATGCACACACCCCCACACATGCACATATATAAGGCTTTAATTTTCATTTTAAACACAGAAAAATTCTACAGATAAGGAAAACTCCAAGTGATTTTTAGTACTTTGCTATTTTTCAGCAACTTAAAATAGGCATTTTAGTAAAACAGCAACAAAGGACTTTTTTCTTACAATTATTTTACCTACAGAGTAAACCAGTTCCAAATAAATTTCACTTCACAAAAGCAAGCAATGAAGCCACCATCAATTAATTGTAACCTACCTACAGGTGCAAGAAAGTTTACTGATGACCATGTTATTTCCTAAAAGAACCTTGAAGGCAATTAAATGTATATACAAAGTTTTTCAGATTGATCATGGTATTTTTATAGCAGTTACCTAGGCAGTGTCTTTAAAAGTGCATCTTACTACAATACTGAAGTGCAGAATTACAGATACAGTATGTATGAGATATATCATGTAAATCTTACCATGATTTGTGTGGAAATCCCTTTACACCACAGAAGTGGTCAATAGGCCACTATATACATGAAAATGAAGTCCTAAATTACCAGGCATAATCCATTACCATCTGTTCTTATTTATTGTTTTCCCTTTACTTCTCTCTCTGCTTGCTCTTCTTACAAAGTTTTCAAAGCTGTTAATGGGAATTAGATGTTCTTTTCCCCACTGACTTTGAGCAGTAGGACTGAGCTCTGATCATTTACATCTTTGAAAACCAAGAGCATTATCTCCTGGTGTCTTGTACAGTCTTTATTTTTGTGCTGGTGCAGGCACATTATGGCTAGCACTGAAAACTCACTCTGTGCTTTTTACTATTATGTAGGCTAGTAGAAAACATGAGAGTACTGCAGCCATAGTCTAAAACTTTTTGGAGAAAGACAGGAAATATTATAAGTTACTTCAACAACTTTTAGACATGATGCTTGATAACTAAAATCTTTCACAAAGTTTAAACTGTGTAGGTTTAAAAACCTCCAAGGCAAAAAAGTAAAACT